CGTCGTTCCCGTCAATTAGGAGCGCGATATTGTCTCTCCGTAGCGGGTACGAGGAGGGTCTCATTCGTTCTTTTCATTCTTCTTTATTCTATAAATAGTACTCGCTATGTTTCGCTTTTGGGTTCACTTTGCGATCGCAGTAAAAAGAATGAGGTACTAACTTTATTAACGACCGCACGTAATAGCTTGTCTTTCTCGCGTAGCGTCTGATTCGTTTTATTGCTAACGCGTCGGCTTGTTTGCGAGGAAATTTCGTTTATTTTCCGTTTATTTCTCGCTGCTCTCCTCCCCTTCATTCGGAATTATATTAATGCGGCGGAAATGTCAGAGGGCACGACAGGTCCCAACGGTCATATTTTTTTATTTGTCAGAATCGTTATTTTTTTTATCATAAAAGCCTACGTGTGTATGTGAATCTCAATCTAATAATATCGAATTATTATTTATCGCTATCTGTACTATACTAAGTTGCGATTCTTTCGATATACTTTTTGTCCATACAAGAGATATTGAAGAAAGCGAAAATCTCGGGTAAGAGATGTCGGTTCATCCTCCAAAATCCAGTACGTCACTTTCCGTTTCACGGATATGTTACGTCCAATCTCTAATCGTGATCTAATCTCCGTCTAATCTCCGTCTAATTAAGATAAAGGAATCAGTCCCCGCACGATGCAACGTCTGCTAATCGGCCTGGAAGCCCGAGTAAAAGAGGCGCGATGTAACACGTGCCAGTTGTCGAGCGACGAGCCTATTCGACAGTTAGTCGATAGCGGAGTTTTCCTTGAAAAAGGTCAGGCTTAGTCATCGAGGAAGCTTCTAAGGGCTCTTCTAATCTTCTTTCTATAGTAGCCTTTTCAGGGTGGGCTAAGATGTAACTTGAGTTTACCGTGTGTATCTAATCACTCCTACTTTTGCGTTCTGTTTGGCTCGTCTGGTTTTTAAAGATACTTTCGATTCTCTGCATGCGGAGTAAATTTTAAATTTTTACAAAGAAAGAAAAAAAGAAGATAAACTAGCTATAACGAAAGAATTTAGTGATGATAATAATTATCATTGAAATATCATTGAATCATTTGTATGCACTTGGATGCAAGCATGTGTCTTCATCATACGATTACGTGTCAATAAAGAGATACTTTTTATAATAAATACTTTTCTTTTAAAATCTTTTTCTTTTTATAGATCTAATTAAAAAGTGACAGAGAATTATTTTGTAATGTTATATTTTAGATTAATTACTTACATTATATATACTACCTTTAAATATTATTATCTCCGTTTGAATGTAATAGAAACATTTAAAAAAAACATTAAAAAAAAAGTCGATTGAACAAATATTTTTTTTGTTATTTTAGTTAATATTATAAGCGATTTTTCAAATCATCCGTTTTATCATATCGATTATTCTGACGCGAAACGGATGCGTTTCTTCACCTTCACCTTCCATATTCGCGAGAAGAAAACTTCATTTACGATAGAGGGATCGAAGTGGCACTCGATATAAAAAAAGAAAGAATGAACGTTCGACAATCTGAGAGAGTCGCTCAAGGGTAGATCGGGCTTATCGCGCTTATGTGCCATAAACGTTCTCTTAGCTTCACATCTACGGGGAACACCTCGTATGTACACCCACGAATAAATTCTCGACGCGCAATATCGCGTTCCGTTTCACTTCCGCGCGTCTCAAGTTATGGTCCAGATAAAACCCGAGGGCGAAAAGAGATTTCTTGGAGAGGAACAAATCAGCACCACGATCTTAAAGATTTCACCAAAAGTGGAGACAAAACTGAGGCATCAAATTTATACATTTTATATATATATATATATATACACTATGTAATCGTTCCGTAAAGATACGTAAAGATACGTAAAGATACGTAAATATATATGATACAGTTTGCGGAATAAAAATTTGGAAATTGGACGAAGATTTGAGGCTGATGGGCTGCCTATGGTTAATCATGTCGGTCTATCAATTGCACTCCTGTATGCGTATGCGTGCATGTATAATACGCGTACGCGTGTATGTACATACCGTGAAACGGATGCCCCTACGTGCCACGCGCGTGTACACACATTGCAACGTGATCCCCTCGTGCGCCGCTTGGCGGTACTCTCGAAACAAAGGGGCCGAGGGGATCCTGGAGGAGGTTGCAGCGGGAGTGTACGAGCTCGTACAAAATATAACTACGAGTTTATGCGTGCGAGCGATTGCGAGAAGACGCAAACTGCGGCCACGAACATTATTTATCGCTATTTTTAAACAACGTATTCTCAGATATCAGACGGGACGTTTTGAATTGTTATAACAATTTCAGAGTTGTCTTGAGATAAGTTAACCGCATTATTTTTGAAGTATATTTCCTTCTAAAAGTGTCCGAATATTTTGCTATAATTTTTATGGTGGTTAGATACTATATAAATTGTAAAATCATCGCATCGAAGCGAGATAATTTTTGAAGTTATGTTCATAATTGTTAAAATCAGTGAGCAATTTTCAAACAATTTTCAATTATATTGATGATAAACCTGAAATGAAGGGAAACTTATCTCAGTTGTCTCTTTTACATTCCCACGTAGACCGATATTATCTTATCTTTGGCGGAAGGAACAACAATGAGAAAATAACAAAGATATGCGTGAGCGCTCAACGTTAGTGTCAGTGAAGCAAGTGAATAAATGCAGTTAAGTTACAGTCGTCGATCGTCCTTTTGTGAAAAATTTTCTAAATGTGAGAATATCGCTTTCGTATTTCTCAGGAAGATCAAAATTTATCAATTTGAAGTCTT